CTTTATATTAAAATACTTTATATTTACATGGAGGGGACCCTCTCTACAGAGGCTGCCATGTTGTTTACATTAGTCCAGACTGAACAAACTAAACACATTTTGAGTTTTTATGACAACTGAAGCTACGACAGGTTCTTTTTCATGTTTGGAAGGAGAGGGTGAGATGAGGGGTGTTCAGCTGCAACATGCAATTTCAACACTAGATATCACAAAATTCTACACACTGTACCTTTCTGTTTGCCAAAGATCAATCAATCTACCGTCTACTTAGTGAAGGCCTATTTCTGGTTAAAAAAAATCTCTTTGAGAAAGTAATTTCTGTTTTTGAGAAACCCACTCGAAAAATAATGATTATGATCTTGTGGTTTGGGCCTCCACAAAGTGCAGCGTAACACTCCCAAAAAGGAAAAAAAGGAATCTAAGGTTAAATGGTTAGCAGAGGACTATGTCTAGGTTACAATAGATTGCATAAATAACCCAGAAATAAATAAATAAATAAAACTTCCTTCCACTGGGGAAATAAATTCCTCCTGAACATTGTGCAGATCTGATAACGAAAGCAGATCTTTCAAAGTTATTGTTGCCTAAGCAGGTTCTACCAGTCATACAATCTCCGAGTTCTGTTTTCCTTTTTAAACCAGCACTATGAATGTTTGAGGGGACGACAAAAAAGGAAAAAGCTTCGGCACACACTTTGTCTATATTTGTGACTCACAGTAGATGAAGATCAGATCACATTTCATGAGCAAGTAATGCAGGGAGGCAGGTCCTACCTCAAAGTCTGCAGACTTTTTCTTGCCACTTTACAGTTTACATGAACATACCATACATTTCTCAAACCTTTGATAAAACAATCAATGGTCCTCTGCAGCTGCCTTAACCATTACAGACAACATACAGTACGCACACTGCATCAGACACATAGCTCACTCACATGAATGAAACATGAAAAACAATGTACGACAACTTTGTATTGGGAACATTGGACACAAATTGTAACACACAATCATACACAGAGATGTGACACGCAAAGAGTGTAGTAACTCTGTATTAAAATTGAACATTTTTGTTTGATGAAGTCTTTGCCATTTGTATCTGTGGAGACGATCTGTATTTAAATGAAAGTGTTTGCAGCAGCAGCTCTTGGTTGAAATAAGGCTATGATTTGATTCTCAAAGCAAGAGTTCACAGATCGGTCAAGTTCTGGTCATTCGTTGCTGGGATGTTAGAGATTGTTGAGAATACAATCAGAAACATTGACATACTGCAGACCGGCGTGGAGAGCATCTTGGAGAATAGTGATCCAAGTTTGTCCTGATGCTTTTCTCTGACTTCCCATGAGGAGCTGTGTCTTGTTTTCCTCTCTGTTTAATTTGAGCTTTTCTCTCCTCGATTCTTGAAACTAAATACTAAAGAGAATTTCATGTCTTTGAATAGTTTCCACTGGTACATCTGCCTAAAATCGAAACCAGCTTAATCCAAAAGCTTGGAGTGCTCTATCCTTGTAATGGTCCAGTCTGGTGGCACTCCCTTAGTAAACTCCCTTTGGAATCTGTCAGGAAAACAAGAGAAAAAGAAAGATCAGGAGGGGATATCATGCAAGAGTTTTCTCTTTCATTAGTATTCTAATCGCATATACTCACTCATAATTTGCAGTTAGCAGTCTTTTCGTTTCTACTTCTCCCTCACCACCAATGGCCACCTGGAAGACACGAGCTCCCTCCATGTCGTCATCAGGAAGCTGTGCGCTTGTCAGATACCAGAAGCGCATCAGGATACTGACAAACTTCCTTCCTGAAACAACAGTGCTCACACTGATTAATTACAAAAAGAAAATAGCATTTTTATCATCAGCTGTTTCTTAACAGCTCTTTCATACTGACCATTTTCATCATAGTAGATTCCCACGTCTCCGGATGTCGTGTACATGATCTCGTCAGCATTTGCAGAGAGGGCTTTCTTGTGGCTCAGTGGCAGCAGGTTGCACTTTTCCTCAAGCTTTCCAATCAACTGCGAGGATATGAACAAAGAAATAAT